GGCCGTGGCAGCGGCTGGAGCCACATCAGAGCGGCCCCCCCGGAGCCACTGGGAGCACACAGAGCTGCCCTCGAAGGAAATGTGCTCACTCCCATGTGCTGCACACTTGGGTTCGCCTCGCTGCTATTTTTATTTGACTTTTCAGGGCCTGTTTCCTTTTTCCGGCTGTTTTTGCTGTGATTCCACCATCACAACGACCTCGTTTTTCCCCCTCCCTCCCTGTTGCTTCTTCCTTCACTCTTTCCTTCCTTTCCATGCACTCATTCCCACTGCCACACCAGGCTCCCAGCAGCAGCTGCCTGTGAGGGAAGGGGCAGTAAAGGGAGGTGGGTTTTGCTCTGGTTTATCTGGGAAGGCGCTGACAGGTCACTGAAGGGGGGACTTTGCTCCAGCCTTGATAAGGAGAAAGGCTGGGAGTCACCCTGTCCCAAGCCAGTGTCCCCATCCTGTTGGTGCCTGAGCTATCAGGTCCTGCTGTGGCCCCCAGCCTCATCCATGGGATATCTACTGTCAGTAGGGCTATTTTGGGATGCTGGTGGTTTGTGGAGGGACCCTGGTTGGGATAAGGGAGGAGGAATAAGAAAAAAACCCTAGGAACTGAACCAGTGCCAAGCTCCTGTGGGGGCAGCAGAAAGGGCAGCGCTGGCTCCTGAGGAGGAGGAGGATGGAGCTGAGAGGAAGGAGCGCAGGCATTGTGGGGCTAGCCGGGGAGGAGCACGGCTCCAGGAGGGCTCTGGCTTTGGGATGAGCTGAGCTGTGGCTCCCTGGATGGCCCCTGATGCCAGCCTGCCCCGTGCCAGGCACACAGCGTCTTGATCATCTTCAGGGACCCCACAGAGCAGCATTCCCAGGCTGCATCCCCTGCTCTGACCCCAAACCAGGGTCCCATCAAATCCACCCATCCTGCCTGCACCCTGTACACCCCAGGGACTCTGCTGTGCCCAGGGCAGGGAGGGCTCTCACCCACCCACCCCTGCTCATGGAGCCCTTCCAGCTCCTCCCAGCCCAATTCCCAGAGGGAATTGCAGGGGGTGGGCAAGGACCCCTGAGCACCCCTTGCCTTTCCTTTCCCGAATCCCCCCTTCGTAGTTTGAACCCCCAGAAACGCCTAGGGAAAGCTTCCCCCCACCTCCTCCAGGGCAGGGGGGGTACCCCACTCCCTGCAGCGCTCAGTGCCCCCCTGGCACGGCCGTGCCCGGCCCGGGGCCGGTGGGGACGGGGGCCGGCGATGCTGGCGTGGCCATGGGAACAGCCGGCGTGGGCAGTGCCCGGCTCTGCTCAGCACACACA